AAAGATTTTGCCCCACCCAATATTGTTAGAGCAAAGTTGGGATCTTTCAAAACTATGATTATCAAGAGGTCACCTACTTAGCAAATCGACTATAGTGAGATTCGAACCTGGATCACATGATCAAAATGTTTTAACCAGTTGTCTACGAACAGTAAAATATTTAGAACTGCTTCTTTCTTTGAAATGTTGGATTGACCACAAAGTCTGATTAGTTTATAACTTGAGGACTTCCAACAGCTAAAATGGATAGCACATGTAACTCAAAGAGAAAATAATGACATAAACAAGATGTTGACATTTCACACAACTCCAAACAAAAAGTTAGGAAGGAAACACTCATCAATACAGGAAAGAGCCACAAAACTACTGAACTTAAGAAACCTGTTTTCCTTATTGTTTTAAGAGATAGATTTTACAAACTTCAACTGAAAGCAGTATTAACTGCTCGGTCAATGAATGCCAAATATTTCCTTTTAGGGAATTGACTGATATTACCATTACCATTAAGAAATCTTTCTGCATCTATTTTATTTGCTTTTGTATGAAATCTGTCTTGAGAAGAAAGTTGACTAAGAAAAAATAAACTTCTATAAAATGGCTCAATAAATTTTTGGAAAAATTTGGATTTACACTTTATCTGTTTTCTTCTTTTCCTTGCCATTTTCTTAGTGGATGAGTTGAATATTTTTACACAGCAAAAATTTTCATCCCTCAACCTTCCACGGTGTCAAACAAGGCTATGAATACAAAACAATTGTTGAATGAATTTGAATTATAAGGAGCCTGTTCACCTCTAAAAATGTTTTTGAATAAGCTAATAGAATAATGTCTGACTACATTACTAATGCTTACTAGTATCCTACCCAGAAAAAATGGTTGAATTATTTGCATATGAGTAATTATAAGTACTTACTTGATTGACAAAAATAAAAAAAAAATCTACTTGTGCACACCCCCACATATGTGTTGTGTCACTTCAGGATGTGGCTCTCCTCAATTTCCTATTCTTTGTAGCTTTTAGTAATGTTTACCTTTTCCCATCTTTACCATTCCCTTTTTGTTTGTTTGTTAAGTTTAGCGGCATATCAATTCCTTATGGGTCATTTAATGCCAAAATTTGATTTTCTTGTGAGCATTAGTAATTTCATTTACAAAAATGTATTGCTGCTAATATTTTTTTAAATAAATTGCTGGCAATTTTTTATTTTTTACAAAAATGTACTGCTGATAATTTTTTTATTATGAAAATGTATTGCTTTTATTTTTATTTTTTTGATAAACAGCAATAAAAAAAATTCTACCTCTGTGAGCACACACACACACACACACACACGCACACACGAATAATGTAACATTTATGTTTTTTTCTGTTAGCCTTGGAATTTGATAATTTTTTGTAGCTTTGGAAAGAGCATCATGTTTTCTTGTGTTCAGAACACTGTAATTTATACTAATGCTACTTAACAAATCAAATGTACATGAAGCCTGCCTAACCATTGAAAATCAAACAATGCAAAAATAAAAATACCAAAATGTCTTTCTGCATATCTCATTCTCTGATAATGGTTTAACCTATTAGATTTACAAATGTTTCCTATTTGTTCTTTATTCTATCACTCTGTCAGAGTATTTGATCACAATTAACACACATACATACATACATACATGCATACACACACACACACACATATATATATATATATATATATATAAAGGTAAAAGACAATAGGAAAACTGTATTATTAGCCGACATGTTTTGTCCAACGTGAACTTTTTCAAGGCGAAAACGAAATGAATTTATTAAAACAAAACAAAATGTCCTTAGCAACTAGAAGAATTTAGAAAATGCTATTGTATTCATATTGTCAACTGAAAATTATGTCAACTACTACCACATGTGGAAATATTGTTTTTATTGTTGTGTTGACGGATTCAACCATTTTCTTTTGATTTCTTGATACATTTGTGTACATTCACTTGGGAGAGTAGTAATTTTGTTAGGAAAGGTGATATAGGGAAAAACCTGGGCATAGATTAATATTTGGATAATATTCAATGGCAGCACTCTCAAGGATTTTTCTTCTGAGTGAGTTATTTTCTTTTTTTTATGAGTGTAGCATTTTTAAAATCAAAATTGTGGTTGAATTTTTTTCTATGTATTAATAGTGCATTAGTTAAGCTGTTTTTTGTGAGGCCTCTTTTGGGCTCATAAATATGTTTTTTTAAATTTCTGCTTGTTTCACCGATATATTGGGAAGAACAGTTTTGATAATTTATTTTATAAATGCCTGCTTCAGAAATATTATTGTTATTAGTGTTTGAGCATCAGAGTATATCCATAATGGTTTGGGAAGTGTTTGTAACTATTTTAAGATTATTTAGATGGGATAGGTTGTTCTAGATACTGGACGTGATGCTTGGTAGCATTAATAGTTGTTAATAGTTACTTTGTTTTAATAAATTCATTTAATTTTTGCCTTGAAAATTTCCACATTGGATGAAATGCATTGGCTAAAAATAGTTTTCCTATTGTCTTTTACCTTCATACATATTGGCTTTTTCTACAGGTTAACTCTGAAAAAATGTTCATATATATATATATATATATATATATATATATATAGCAGCATATCATGATAGCTTGCATTGAGAACTTTTTTGGTGTTTACGCCTTTCTAGGCAACCCACATTTTATATTTATTTTTTGGCCTCCTATTATAATATATTTTATATTATTTACATTATTTGAACTATTGTGCACATCTTTGTCACCATATTTATTACAATGTTTCGGCCGTTGTATGCTCCAGCCTTCTTCAGGTGGTTGGAATGTTGAAGTGAACCATTTATTTCGCTCACTGGGGTAGACTGTTCTAGTTGCATGTGCCATGTTTAATGGATGTCAGTTATCAGTTATCTCCTGTTAATTTTCCCTCTGAAAGTTCTCCACTGCCTTAACCGGGTATTGAACTCACACTCTTTGAGTCCTGTCACTGGATCTAACCAATGCCTTTATCCACTGTGCCATGTGTCCTTGAGTAAATTAACAGGAGATAACTGATAACTGACATCCATTAAACATGGCACATGGAACAGTCTACCCCAGTGAGCGAAATAAAGGGTTCAGTTTAACATTCCAACCACCTGAAGAAGGCAGGAGTGTACAACGGCTGAAACATGATAAATATGGCGACAAAGATGAGGACAATAGTCCAAATAATGTAAATAATGTACATAATACCTCATCTCAGAAATATAGACAGATAATATTTTATATTTTATATATATATATATATATGTGTGTGTGTGTGTGTGTGTGTGTGCACATATATACATATATATATATGTATGTGTGTGTTTGTGTGGTATGCACACAAGATATAAAATACCAGGATTCATTGAGTAGAGAATAATTTCTTTTTCAGACATATTATTTTATAAAGAATTGTGCAGCACAAAACAAACATCTAACAATTTTTGTCAACAAACAAAATTTGCATTAAATATTAAAAGTTAATATTTTTTTAATACTCTTTGATGAAAGTGTCACATTCTGACCCTTATCTAGGATCAGTCTAATAGCTGCATAATATATGGAATATTCTATGCACACAATATAGATATCAACCACCTAACTGTTCATTTTTACATGGCAAAATAATTGGGAAAGGAGGAAAGAAGTTGTGAAGGAGGAAAGTAAAAAAGCTAGAGAAAAGTGAAAAGAAAAGCAATTTGAAGGAAAGGAGATGAATGAAAAAAAAGCGACAGTTAGGCTTTGCTTTCTTGAGATTTATAACTCCTTTACCCTTTGAGCTTTTAAAATTGGATGCAGCTCTATTTGATATTTTCTCTTTTAGACCATGGCACAGACCTTATATAGGAAGGTAGGTAGATACTATATTATGAAAGATATATATATATATATATATATATATATATATATATATATAGTTAAACCTTGAGAACAGTAGATTGTCAGGGAAGGCTGGCTGTCTAGGTTTAACTAGGTCTGCTCTACTCACTGTATCGAGCACTTTATTTAGTTATTTTGTGTACTTGTATCAGGGTTTTTTTCTTTGGTCTTTGGACTTGCATGCTAGATGATTATTTTTGGCTAACATGCATGTTCTTGGTTCTTGCTTTTTTTATACCTTTTTTTCCCTTTGGTATTGGTTTGATTACTTGCAAATCAAGACACCAAAGGTTTTCTGAATGAGTATAGTTTTTATACTTATAAGATTTCCATTAATACTATATATATATATATATATATATATATATATATACATTAGGAAAAAATTAATTATTTTTAATAATATGTGGAAATCTCCGCTTTTACCTGACCAGAAACACATGTAGTAAAATTATGGAAAATAAAGCATAATATATTTTTTTTTTAAAATCCACATTACAACCAAAAACGTTTGCAGCACCTCTCTTCTCTTCTTTTTAATATACATACTTTTCTCTCGTTGGAACCACTACAACCTCTTTCTTTTATATATATATATATATATATATACAAATCTTTATATCAGACTTCTACAAGGTAACTGAATGACAAAATAGAAAAATAAAACTCTTATGTAGCCTATTTCATCCCTAGAAAAAGGTTCTCAAGTTATAATATACCAGTAGTTGTGAGTTTAATTTTAACCCTGATCACCACTTTACTGGTGGTAGAGATCAATGACATAATGCCCAGTCACTGGTTGAACAGTGATAGAAAAAATGACTTAATGCCCAGCTACCGGTTGAATGGTAGGTAAACACTTGTAACTATTTTTATATCTACTGTGAAACATTACGTACCAATTATTTTCAAATTTTGACTCAGAGAATCAGGCAGAAAGGTTAAAATTGTTCAGGAACGTATGGCTGAAAGGGTTAATCCAGGGGCCAGGCAGTGAAATTTATATAATATCTGTTGTATTAACTGAACTATTATAAGAGGGAAAGAAAGATGTTTCCTTATAGATATTCACTGAGTTCATCATTTGATGCTTGATAATAATGTTAATATGAGGCCAATAGAAATGTCTTGTATGACGAGTTAAGAATAAAGATAATCATGTTAGCATTAGAATGAAAATGATGGCTTAATATGAAGAGGGATGAAGTTAATGAGACTAATACTAAAGGTAATGGTATCATAAGTGAGTATTTGTTCAAGGAATAACAGATATTGACTGTATCAAGTAATATCTATATAGAGCTGTGATTCTTAAACTTTTTCCTTGTTTGCACCCCTTTCAAGCCACCAACCATTTCTTGCATCCCTTTCAAACCACGAACCAGTTCTCTCACCCTTTTCAAATCATCAATCAGTTCTCGCATCCTTTCAAACCACCAAATAGTTCTCACACACTTTTCAAATCACCAATTAGTTCTTACACCCCTTTCAAATCACCAATCAGTTCTCTCACCCTTTTCAAATCACCAATCAGTTCTTACACCCCTTTCAAATCACCAATCAGTCCTCGACACCCTTTCAAATCACCAATCACTTCTCACCCTTTTCAAATCACCAATCAGTTCTCACACCTTTTCAAATCACCAATCAGTTCTTACACCTTTCAAATCACCAATCCAATCAGTTCTCACACTCCTTTCAAACCACCAATCAGTTCTTACACCCCTTTCAAACCACCAATCAGTTCTCACACCCCTTTCAAATCACCAATCAGTTCTCACACCCCTTTCAAATCACCAATCATTTCTCACACACTTTTCAAATCACCAATCAGTTCTTACACCCTCTTCAAATCACCAATTAGTTCTCAGTTTTCAAATCACCAATCAGTTCTTAAAAATCACCAATCAGTTCTCACACCCTTTTCAAATCACCAATCAGTTCTTACACACCTTTCAAATCACCAATCAGTTCTTACACCCTTTTCAAATCACCAATCAGTTCTCGCACCCCTTTCAAATCACTAATCAGTTCTCGCATCCTTTTCAAATCACCAATTAGTTCTTGCACACTTTTCAAATCATCATTTAGTTCTCACACACTTTTCAAATCACCAATCAGTTCTTACACCCCTGTCAAACCACCAATCAGTTCTTACATCCCTTTCAAATCACCAATCAGTTCTCACACACTTTTCAAATCACCAATCAGTTCTCTCACCCTTTTCAAATCACCAATCAGTTCTTACACCCCTTTCAAATCACCAATCAGTTCTCGCACCCCTTTCAAATCACCAATTAGTTCTCGCACCCTTTTCAAATCACCAATCAGTTCTCACACCCCTTTCAAATCACCAATCAGTTCTCACACCCCTTTCAAATCACCAATCAGTTCTTTTCAAACACCCTCACACCCTTCAAACCACCAATCAGTTCTTACACCCCTTTCAAACCACCAATCAGTTCTCACACCACTTTCAAATTACCAATCAGTTCTCACACCTCTTTCAAATCACCAATCATTTCTCACACCCTTTTCAAATCACCAATCAGTTCATACACCCTCTTCAAATCACCAATCATTTCTCACACCCTTTTCAAATCACCAATCAGTTCTTACACCCTTTTAAAATCACCAATCAGTTCTCACACCCCTTTCAAATCACCAATCAGTTCTCACACCCTTTTCAAATCACCAATCAGTCCTTACACCCCTTTCAAATCACCAATCAGTTCTCACACCCCTTTCAAATCACCAATCATTTCACACACACATTTCAAATCACCAATCAGTTCTTACACCCCTTTCAAATCACCAATTAATTCTCGCACCCTTTTCAAATCACCAATCAGTTCTAAACCCTTTTTCAAATCACCAATCAGTTCTCACACCCTTTCAAACCACCAATCAGTTCTCACACAATTTTTCCAATCACCAATCAGGTCTCGCACCCCTTTCAAATCACCAATTAGTTCTCTCACCCTTTACAAATCACCAAATCAGTTCTTACACCTTTTAAAATCACCAATCAGTTCTTACACCCCTTTCAAATCACCAATCAGTTCTCCCACACCTTTCAAATCACCAATTAGTTCTCACACACTTTTCAAATCACCAATCAGTTCTCACACTCCTTTCAAATCACCAATCAGTCCTCACACCCCTTTCAAATCACCAATCACTTCTCACACGCTTTTCAAATCACCAATCACTTCTCACACCCTTTTCAAATCACCAATCAGTTCTCACACCCTTTTCAAATCACCAATCAGTTCTTACACACCTTTCAAATCACCAATCAGTTCTTACACCCTTTTCAAATCACCAATCAGTTCTCGCACACTTTTCAAATCATCAATTAGTTCTCACACACTTTTCAAATCACCAATCAGGTCTCGCACCCCTTTCAAATCACCAATTAGTTCTCTCACCCTTTACAAATCACAAATCAGTTCTTACACCCTTTTCAAATCACCAATCAGTTCTCTCACCCTTTTCAAATCACCAATCAGTTCTTACACCCCTTTCAAATCACCAATCAGTTCTCGCACCACTTTCAAATCACCAATTAGTTCAAACCTTTTCAAATCACCAATCAGTTCTCACACCACTTTTCAAATCACCAATCAGTTCTACACCTCTTTCAAATCACCAATCATTTCTCACACCCTTTTCAAATCACCAATCAGTTCTTACACCCTCTTCAAATCACCAATTAGTTCTCGAACCCTTTTCAATTCACCAATCCGTTCTCGCACCCTTTTCAAATCACCAATTAGTTCTCACACCCTTTTCAAATCACCAATCAGTTCTCACACACTTTTCAAATCACCAATCAGTTCTCACACCCCTTTCAAATCACCAATCAGTTCTCACACCCTTTATAAATCACCAATCAGTTCTTACACCCCTTTCAAATCACTAATCAGTTCTCACACACCTTTCAAATCACCAATCATTTCTCACACCCTTTTCAAATCACCAATCAGTTCTTACACCCTTTTAAAATCACCAATCAGTTCTCGCAGCCTTTTCAAATCACCAATCAGTTCTCACACCCTTTTCAAATTACCAATCTTTCCAAACCCTTTTAAAAATCACCAATCAGTTCTCACACCCCTTTCAAATCACCAATCATTTTCACACACCATTTCAAATCACCAATCAACCCCTTTCAAATCACCAATTAATTCTCGCACCCTTTTCAAATCACCAATCAGTTCTTAAACCCTTTCAAATCACCAATCAGTTCTCACACCCTTTCAAACCACCAATCAGTTCTCACACACTTTTCAAATCACCAATCAGGTCCCTGCACCCCTTTCAAATCACCAATTAGTTCTCTCACCCTTTTACAAATCACCAATCAGTTCTCGCACCCTTTCAAATCACCAATCAGTTCTTACACCCCTTTCAAATCACCAATCTGTTCTCCCACACCTTTCAAATCACCAATTAGTTCTCACACACTTTTCAAATCACCAATCAGTTCTCACACTCCTTTCAAATCACCAATCAGTCCTCACACCCCTTTCAAATCACCAATCACTTCTCACTCGCTTTTCAAATCACCAATCACTTCTCACACCCTTTTCAAATCACCAATCAGTTCTTACACTCCTTTCAAACCACCAATCAGTTCTTACACCCCTTTCAAACCACCAATCAGTTCTCACACCACTTTCAAATTACCAATCAGTTCTCACACCCCTTTCAAATCACCAATCATTTCTCACACACTTTTCAAATCACCAATCAGTTCTTACACCCTCTTCAAATCACCAATTAGTTCTCGCACCCTTTTCAAATCACCAATCAGTTCTTACACCTCTTTCAAATCACCAATCAGTTCTCACACTCCTTTCAAACCACCAATCAGTTCTTACACCCCTTTCAAACCACCAATCAGTTCTCACACCACTTTCAAATTACCAATCAGTTCTCACACCCCTTTCAAATCACCAATCATTTCTCACACCCTTTTCAAATCACCAATCAGTTCTTACACCCTTTTAAAATCACCAATCAGTTCTCACACCCCTTTCAAATCACCAATCAGTTCTCACACCCTTTTCAAATTACCAATCAGTCCTTACACCCTTTTCAAATCACCAATCAGTTCTCACACCCCTTTCAAATCACCAATCATTTCACACACACATTTCAAATCACCAATCAGTTCTTACACCCCTTTCAAATCACCAATTAATTCTCGCACCCTTTTCAAATCACCAATCAGTTCTTAAACCCCTTTCAAATCACCAATCAGTTCTCACACCCTTTCAAACCACCAATCAGTTCTCACACACTTTTCAAATCACCAATCAGGTCTCGCACCCCTTTCAAATCACCAATTAGTTCTCTCACCCTTTACAAATCACAAATCAGTTCTTACACCCTTTTCAAATCACCAATCAGTTCTTACACCCCTTTCAAATCACCAATCTGTTCTCCCACACCTTTCAAATCACCAATTAGTTCTCACACACTTTTCAAATCACCAATCAGTTCTCACAACCCTTTCAAATCACCAATCAGTCCTCACACCCCTTTCAAATCAAAATCACTTCAATCACTTTTCAAATCACCAATCACACACTTTTCAAATCACCAATCAGTTCTTACACCCTTTTCAAACCACCAATCAGTTCTTACACACCAAACAGTTCTCAAACCACTTTCAAATTACCAATCAGTTCTCACACCCCTTTCAAATCACCAATCACCAATCACACACTTTTCAAATCACCCAGTTTTACACCTCTTCAAATCACCAATTAGTTCTCGCACCCTTTTCAAATCACCAATTAGTTCTCACACACTTTTCAAATCACCAATCAGGTCTCACACCCTTTTTCAAACCACCAATCAGTTCTCTCACCCTTTTTCAAACCACCAATCAGTTCTCACACCCTTTTCAAATCACCAATCAGTTCTCTTCTCCCTTTTCAAATCACCAATCGTTTCTCACCAACGTTCTTCAAATCACCTTTTTCAAATCACCAATCAGTTCTCGCACCCTTTCAAATCACCAAATTAGTTCTTTTCGCACCCAGTTTTTCAAATCACCAATCAGTTCTCACACCCTTTTCAAATCACCAATCAGTTCTCACACCCCTTTCAAATCACCAATCAGTTTCTCACCCTTTTCAAATCACCAATCAGTTCTTACACCCTTTTCAAATCACCAATCAGTTCTCGCACCACTTTCAAATCACCAATCAGTTCTCGCACCCTTTTCAAATCACCAATCAGTTTCTCACACCTTTTCAAATCACCAATCAGTCCTCACACCCTTTTCAAATCACCAATCAGTTCTCACCCTTTTCTCACCAATCATTTTCAACCTTTCACCAATCAGTTCTCGCACCCCTTTCAAATCACCAATCAGTTCTCAAATCCCAATTTCGCAAAATCACCAATCAGTTCTTACACCCTTTCAAATCACCAATCAGTTCTCACACCCTTTTCAAATCACCAATCAGTTCTCACTTTTCAAATCACCAATCAGTTCTCCACACTTTTCAAATCACCAATCAGTTCTTCACACCCTTTTCAAATCACCAATCAGTTCTCGCACCCCTTTTCAAATCACCAATCAGTTCTCACACCTTTTCAAATCACCAATCAGTTCTCACCCTTTTACACCCTTTTCAAATCACCAATCAGTTCTCACACCCTTTCAAATCACCAATCAGTTCTCGCACCCTTTTCAAATCACCAATCACACCCTTTTCAAATCACCAATCAGTTCTCGCACACCCCTTTCAAATCACCAATTAGTTCTCGCACCCTTTTCAAATCACCAATCAGTTTCTTAAACCCCTTTCAAATCACCAATCAGTTCTTACACCCTTTCAAACCACCAATCAGTTCTACCAACACACTTTTCAAATCACCAATCAGTTTCTCACACCCTTTCAAATCACCAATCAGTTCTCTCACCCTTTTTCAAATCACCAATCAGTTCTTACACCCTTTTCAAATCACCAATCAGTTCTTACACCCCTTTCAAATCACCAATCAGTTCTCGCACCCCTTTCAAATCACCAATTAGTTCTCGCACCCTTTTCAAATCACCAATCAGTTCTCACACCCCTTTCAAATCACCAATCAGTCCTCACACCCCTTTCAAATCACCAATCACTTCTCACACCCTTTTCAAATCACCAATCAGTTCTCACACCCCTTTCAAACCACCAATCAGTTCTTACACCCCTTTCAAACCACCAATCAGTTCTCACACCTCTTTCAAATCACCAATCAGTTCTCAAACTTTCAAATCACCAATCATTTCACACCCTTTCAAATCACCAATCAGTTCTCACACCCTTTCAAATCACCAATCATTTCTCACACACTTTTCAAATCACCAATCAGTTCTCACACCTTTTCAAATCACCAATCAGTTCTCACACCTTTTCAAATCACCAATTAGTTCTACACCCTTTTCAAATCACCAATCAGTTTCACACCCTTTTCAAATCACCAATCAGTTCTCACACCCTTTCAAATCACCAATCAGTTCTCACATTCACCCTTTCAAACCACCAATCAGTTCTCAAACCTCTTTCAAATCACCAATCAGTTCTCACCTTTTCAAACCACCAATCAGTTTCTCACACCCTTTTCAAATCACCAATCAGTTCTTACACCCTCTTCAAATCACCAATTAGTTCTCGCACCCTTTTCAAATCACCAATCAGTTCTCACACCCTTTTCAAATCACCAATCAGTTCTCGCACCCTTTTCAAATCACCAATCAGTTCTCACACCCTTTTCAAATCACCAATCAGTTCTCACACCCTTTTCAAATCACCAATCAGTTCTCACACCCCTTTCAAATCACCAATCAGTTTACACCCTTTCAAATCACCAATCACCTTTCAAATCACCAATCAGTTCTTACACCCTTTTCAAATCACCAATCAGTTCTCACACCCTTTCAAATGACACACCTTTCAAATCACCAATCAGTTCTTACACCTTTTCAAATCACCAATCAGTTCTCGCACCTTTTCAAATCACCAATCAGTTCTCACACCCTTTTCAAATCACCAATCAGTTCTTACACCCCTTTCAAATCACCAATTAGTTCTCTCACCTTTACCCTTTTCAAATCACAATCAATCAGTTCTCGCACCCTTTTCAAATCACCAATCAGTTCTCACACCTTTTCAAATCACCAATCAGTCCCTTTCAAATCACCAATCAGTTCTTACACCCCTTTCACCAATCAGTTCTCACACCCTTTTCAAATCACCAATCAGTTCTCACACCCTTTCAAACCACCAATCAGTTCTTACACCTTTTCAAATCACCAATCAGTTCTCACACCACTTTCAAATCACCAATCAGTTCTTACACCCTTTCAAATCACCAATCAGTTCTCACACCCTTTTCAAATCACCAATCAGTTCTTACACCTTTTCAAATCACCAATCAGTTTCAACCTTTTCAAATCACCAATCAGTTCTTACACCCTTTCAAAATCACCAATCAGTTCTTCACACCCTTTCAAATCACCAATCAGTTCTCACACCTTTTCAAATCACCAATCAGTTCTCACACCCTTTTCAAATCACCAAATTTTCAGTTCTCGCATCAGTTCTTACACCCTTTCAAATCACCAATCAGTTCTCACACCTTTCAAATCACCAATCATTTTCTCCACACCTTTCAAATCACCAATCAGTCCTCACCCTTTTTTTCAAATCACCAATCAGTTCAAATCACCCTTTCACACCCTTTTCAAATCCAATCAATCAAGTCACACCCCTTTCAAATCACCAATCATTTCAACACCTTTCAAATCACCAATCAGTTTTTCAAATCACCAATCAATTCTCCACCTTTTCAAATCACCAATCAGTTCTTACACCCTTTCAAATCACCAATCAGTTCTTAAACCCTTTTCAAATCACCAATCAGTTCTTACACCCTTTTCAAAGTTCTTTTTTTCAAATCACCAATCAGTTCTCACACCCTTTTCTCAAATCACCAATCAGTTCTACACCTCTTTCAAATCACCAATTAGTTCTCCCACCCTTTTCAAATCACCAATCACAATCAGTTCAACCCTTTCAAATCATTTCTCAATCTGTTCTCCCCATTTTCAAATCACCAATCACTTTTCAAATCACCAATCAGTTCTCACACTTTTCAAATCACCAATCAGTTCTCACACCCTTTTCAAATCACCAATCAGTTCTCACACCTTTTCAAATCACCTTTCAAATCACCAGTTCTCACACCCTTTTCAAATCACCAATTTGTTCTTACACCCCTTTCAAACCACCAATCAGTTCTTACACCCCTTTCAAACCACCAATCAGTTCTCACCCCTTTCAAATTACCAATCAGTTCTCACACCCTTTTCAAAAATCATTTCTCACACACTTTTCAAATCACCAATCAGTTCTTACACCCTCTTCAAATCACCAATCAGTTCTCACACCCTTTCAAATCACCAATCAGTTCTTACACCTCTCAAAATCACCAATCAGTTTCACACCTTTTTCAGTTCTCCCCCTTTTCAAATCACCAATCAGTTCTCACACCCTTTCAAATCACCAATCAGTTCTTCACACCCCTTTCAAATCACCAATTAGTTCTCACACACTTTTCAAATCACCAATCAGTTCTTACACCCCTTTCAAATCACCAATTAGTTCTCGCACCCTTTTCAAATCACCAATCAGTTCTTACACCCTTTTCAAATCACCAATCAGTTCTCGCACCCTTTTCAAATCACCAATCAGTTCTCTCACCCTTTTCAAATCACCAATCAGTTCTTACACCCCTTTCAAATCACCAATCAGTTCTCGCACCCCTTTCAAATCACCAATTAGTTCTCGCACCCTTTTCAAATCACCAATCAGTTCTCACACCACTTTCAAATCACCAATCAGTTCTCACACCCCTTTCAAATCACCAATCATTTCTCACACCCTTTTCAAATCACCAATCAGTTCTCACACCCCCTTTCAAATCACCAATCAGTTTTCACACCCTTTCAAATCACCAATCAGTTCTCTTTCAAATTACCAATCACCCTTTTCAAATCACCAATCATTTTCTCACACCCTTTTCAAATCACTTCAAATCAATTAGTTCTCGCACCTTTTCAAATCACCAATCAGTTCTCAGATCCCCTTTTCAAATCACCAATCAGTTCTCGCACCCTTTTCAAATCACCAATCAGTTCTCACACACTTTTCAAATCACCAATCAGTTCTCGCACCCCTTTCAAATCTCCAATTAGTTCTCTCAGCCTTTTCAAATCACCAATTTGTTCTTACACCCCTTTCAAATTACCAATCAGTTCTCGCACCCCTTTCAAATCACCAATTAGTTCTCGCACCCTTTTCAAATCACCAATCAGTTCTCACACCCTTTTCAAATCACCAATCAGTTCTCACACCCCTTTCAAATCACCAATCAGTTCTCACACCCTTTACAAATCCCCAATCAGTTCTTACACCTCTTTAAATCACCAATCAGTTCTCGCACCTTTTTCAAATCACCAATCAGTTCTCTCACCCTTTTCAAATCACCAATCAGTTCTTACACCCCTTTCAAATCACCAATTAGTTCTCACACCCTTTTCAAATCACCAATCAATTCTTACACCCCTTCCAAATCACCAATCAGTTCTTACACCCTTTTCAAATCACCAATCAGTTCTTACACCCCTTTCAAATCACCAATCAGTTCTTACACCCCTTCCAAATCACCAATCAATTCTTACACCCCTTCCAAATCACCAATCAGTTCTTACACCCTTTTCAAATCACCAATCAGTTCTTACACCCCTTTCAAATCACCAATCAGTTCTCGCACCCCTTTTAAATCCCCAATTAGTTCTCGCACCCTTTTCAAATCACCAATCAATTCTTACACCCCTTCCAAATCACCAATCAGTTCTTACACCCCTTTCAAATCACCAATCTGTTCTTGCACCCTTTTCAAATCACCAATCTGTTCTCGCACCCTTTTCAAATCACCAATCAGTTCTTGCACCCCTTTCAAATCACCAATCAATTCTCACACCCTTTTCAAATCACCAATCAGTTCTCACACCCCTTTCAAATCACCAATCAGTTCTCGCACCCTTTTCAAATCACCAATTAGTTCTCGCACCTCTTTCAAACCACCAACCTGTTCTCACACCTCTTTCAAACCACCAACCAGTTCTCGCACCCTTTTCAAATCACCAATCAGTTCTCGCACCCCTTTGAAACCACCAACCAGTTCTCACACCCCTTTCAAATCATCAATCAATTCTTGCACCCCTTTCAAATCACCAATCAGTTCTTACACCCCTTTCAAACCACCAACCTGTTCTCGCACCCTTTTCAAATCACCAATCAGTGCTCTCACTCCTTCCACAATTGACGAAAAACAATATTGACTTCATGTGTAAATAAGAAAACCATTGTGTTACTTTAATGTTTATTCACATAATTGACAACAAAATAATGCATTACAAAAATCCAGATTACTTTCATATTAGCAAAAAACTAAAATGATGGTGTAATATGTATAGTGTGTTGTGAATATTTATGGTTGAGCCACAAACTCAGTGAGTTTTCTTGTTGTTGTTTTCTGTTTACGATGACATCAAATCTTGGTGTCTTAGTGTTGAGTGCTAGTCACATGTCATGTTGAGGATCCAGTCAATTTTTGCTCTTGATTTTGATGTAAAGCAGACAGGAAAATCTAGCCTCATTCAGGTATATAGTCGTGATAGTTACCAGCACAGTGGGAACTCTTTTTGCCAATACAGCATATGTTTCCAACTGAAAAGCCCAGAATTGCTACAGGCAACCATCAATGAACTGTATTTAGATTCCATGATTGTTTCACAGATCAATGAGATCTTCCTTGTATGCATTCACAGTGTTTTTATATATACATGATCATTTATGTGGGGTTTTTTGCCTACATTGATTATAATCTAAAATTATGAATTCATTTTGTTTTCTTTATCTATAATTTTTATTTAATTTTATTTATTTATTATTATAATTATTATTATTATTATTATTATTGACATATATTTATATGTATGTGTGTATGGGTATGTATATGTGTTTATGTATGGATGTGTGTATGTGTATATGTGTGTGTATGTGTATATATGTGTATATTTATATGTATATGCATATATATATTCAAACATATCTTATTAAGTATAACAGACAATGAATGTCTATTATATCTGATCATGATCCGTTCTAATGTTTGAATGTTTGCTTTAATTTCTAGTGAAAATAAAGACAAAAACTGATCTGCTGCCCCAATACACTAAATTCAAGTGTGTGTGTGTGTGTGTGTGTGCACGCATGTGTGTGTATATATATGTCTTTGCATTTTTGAGGTTTTAGTTAATTAAAATGGTCCTTTATTAATTTAAACAAAATTTTTGAATGTTTTTTTTTTTAAATTTTAAAGAATTTCATTTTTTTAAATTGATGTTATTTCTTTATATTGATTTCAAATATTTTAATAATATTATTTATAATTTTTATCAGTTTGTAATTGTGACGGTTATAATGCAATGACGTTGGTTTTGCTGCTTAAAATGACGAGACAATTTCAATGTATCTATTTTGAATATGATCACTCCCTTCCCCCACCCTATTTTTTAACTTGTCAAGTCCTAGAAAAAGGGTCACCCTGTCGACTGGTTTAATTCCTTTTTTCCCCTCTCTCACTGTTTACCTTTCCCCCTCCAGATGACTATCGCTCTTTCTCTTCCCCAAAAAGGCCTTATATTGAAATCTGTCTTTCTTCACTTCTTTCTTTCCCCTTTTAATATTAAAACATTTTCCTTTTTCTCTTTTTTGTATTTCTTCTCTCTTCCTTTTTTTCTTTTATCCTTTTTCTTTTCCTTGTGTCTGAATAAATTGAACTCCATTTACTTTTGTAAAATTGGTCTGAAGAGATGGAAGTCTTAGTCCATGAAATAAATTATCACCTGACAATGGATTTTTAAGGATTCTGTATTCATTATTATATTGCTCTGTTCTTACATTGAGCTCTCTATGGATTTATATCCTCCTTAGAATTATCCCTATTATTAATCATGATATTATATATATATATATATATATATATATATATATATATATATATATATATATATATATATATATGTGTGTGTGTGTGTGTTATTTTGAATTGAGATCACTTCAAGCAAGGCAGTAAATCCACTAAGACATAATGGGTTACTGAGTGTGAAAGAATTAGAAGACAGAAACACACCTAAGGAGCGGGAATAGTGGAAGAGTACGTTGGTGTGTGTGGTTGCATATGCAGATATATTCACATATGAATATATAAATGAATATATCTTTATATACATACATACATACATATACATACATACATATATATATACATACATACATACATACATACATATATACATATATATATATATATATATATATATATATAATATTAGTGGTAAATATACACATACATATGCAAAATATATAAATATATATACATACATACATACATATATATTTGTATAAAAAAAATTCCAAGAGGATAGAATCCAGGTAGAACTCAATGTCCAGGACAAAGTAAGGATATAATAAAAAGGTTTAAACACTAATATTCCATGGTCATAATTTATTCTATTGGAATTGTAAATACGATCCAATTCATCAGACAAATTCAAAACAAATATATATAAATATATATATATATATATATATATATCAAATATAATATATATATTTATATTATAAATATGATCCAATTGTGTGTGTGTATATATATATATATATATATATATATATATATAATATATATATAAATATATATATATATATATATGGTCCATAATTTATTCCATTGGAATTGTAAATATGATCCAATTCATCAGACCTACAAATTCAAAAAAAGAAAACAGAAAAACAATATTATATATTTCATATATTTTGCATATGTATGTGTTTTGAATTTTAGGTCTGATGAATTGATCGTATTTACGATTCCAATGGAATAAATTATGACCATGGAATATTAGTGTTTAAGCCTTTTTTTTTATATATATATATATATATATATATATATATATATATATATATTTAATTTGAAAAAACAGACCACTTTAAGGTACCATTACAATAATTTATTTCACCAAAATTTTTTTAAAGGACTCCAGATCATCAGGTAACAATTCCAACAACGAAATGAAAGGAAAAATGGGATTAGAAATTGATGGGTAGTTTAATTTTTGTAATTTAACAGGGAGGGTGATAGTTGTAGTTAAAGAGACAAGGTAGAGTATAGGGAGGGGTTAATTTCATATTTCTCTTAAACGTACTTTATATTGGGGTAGGAGGAGTGACTGAAACGTGACCTATTTAGATGGTTAACTTAACAGAAATGATATATAGGAATGGGAGGGTAGTGGTATTTATATATTGTAGAATGTTACTTTCTTTTTTGTCCTCTTTTGATTAATATGATTTTATATTTTAATCAGGTACCAGTTATGTTTTTTTATTTATTCCCTTTAAAATTGTATTTCGTTGTTCCCGTCAAAGAATAATAACTGTTTCTCTAGGGATTTAAGTTCTATTTAAGGTGATAATTAAGGTGCCAAGACCTCACTTTACAGTCTTGATAGAGTGAAATAAAAAGTCTGAATCCTTGTTAGAGAAAAATTATTTTCCATCCTCCAGCCTCTCACTCACAGGTACGATGGGGCAAATCTCTCACTGTTCTATCACTACAACCATGGGAAGTGTTCAAAGTACATTCTTCCTTTGTGCTGCCAGATCTAACCTTTACAGCTAAGACTCACCATGCCACTTACATAGCAGCAAACCAGTCACATTTCCATATTTCATCAGTGAGAAACTCCACTTTATCTGACGATTGCAAATAGCATGAAACCTAGGGTCACAAACCCACATCAATTCTTTACTTCAAGATATTGCATCAGAACATGTCAAAATCACTACACAATTCCAGTCATGTTTAGTGTAATAAACCATCACCTGAAGAGATGTGCTGTATGTGCATGAAAACATGACTGCAATTGTGTAGTGATTTTGACATGTCTTCAATGTAATATCCTAAAATAAAATATATATATATATATATATATATATATATATATATATAAATTTATTTTCATTCAATAATTCTATTAATAAAGTTAGAAAATTACAATAAATATAAAAAGGACACAAAATTTAATATCAGTATTACAAACTTTGTTAACCATGATTTTACATGATAATTACACATATATCTGCATTTACAGTACAACTTAGAGTTACATGGTTTCATATGTAATCACTCACAGATATGGTTGATCATATTTCTTTATTCAGATCATTTCCACACACACACACATATATATATATATATATATATATATATATATATATATATATATAAATTTATTTTCATTCAATAATTCTATTAATAAAGTTAGAAAATTACAATAAATATAAAAAGGACAAAATTTAATATCAGTATTACAAACTTTTTTAACCAATGATTTTACAGCAGGTGTGACTCAATGTTAAATTTCTGACAAACTTCATTAGCATAATACATTTTTAGAATGCAAAATAGATCTTTACAAAAGAAGAATAATATGCCAATTCTTTTTTTTTTTTTTTTTTTTTTTTTTTAAACTATGACTTGTTTTATTATATTTATGTTTTCTTGAGCCTAACTCATCCCATGGGGAAAATAACCAAACATGACTCCAGTTATATTCTCAATGATTAATTTAAAATGGAAATAATTCATCATACATTTTTTTCTTGGCTTAATTAGACTGAGTATTAGTTTATGTTAAAGAGAAAGAACTTTTTCAGCAATTTATTTCAGAAATGTGCTTATGACTATATCACATTGAAACTCTGATTTTCATACAATCACCAAACTTAAGCAATATCAACCCTGGTCAGTACCAAGATGGGTGACTGCTTGGGAATACCAGTTGCTGCTGGATGTGTGGGCAGTTTAATGGATAATGCCTCTGAATTTTAAATTGGAGAGCCAAATTCCAATTCCATTTAGGTTTGTTATCTACCCTTACATGAAAATACCTTTTGAAAAAAGGATGAACTCAACTCTTCTCCCTCAGCTATGGGTTAATTAGTTGAATTTGTATCAGTAAATCATTATTATCTCCAAAAAATTCTTATAATCTAGAAATTTTTTCTGGCTTTAATTAACCGGCAAAAAACTGATAAGCCATAAAAAACAAATCAATGAATCAGTTTTCAGAAATGATAATGGTGCATCATGTCTGTTGCTGTCACCTGGCTTTGATTTTTCATACTCTTGAGAAAGACAGGAAGTCCTTTCCTCAAATAGCAGAATAGACTGATCTCTCTAGCTTTGGGTCTAAGCAAAAGGAAATTCTGA